CACCACTTTGTCACACACCCTCTTTCACACGCCATCTTTGACACACCATCTTTTACACACCATCTTTCACACACCATCTTTGACACACCATCTTTGACACACCATCTTTTACACACCATCTTTGTCACACCACTTTGTCACACACACCATCTTTCACACACCATCTTACACACCACTTTGTCACACACCATCTTTCACACACCATCTTTGACACACCATCTTTTACACACCATCTTTCACATACCATCTTTGACACCACATCTTTGACACGCCATCTTTCACACACCGTCACAGGCCATCTTTCACACACCATCTTTCACACACCACTTTGTCACACACCATGTTTGACACACCATCTTTCACACACAACTTTGTCCCACACCATCTTTCACCACACCATCTTTGGCACACACCATGTTTCACCACACCATCTTTGACACACACACACACAGCTTTGTCACACACCATCTTTCCTCCACCTCCTCCTTTGTCTTTCCTTCCGTCCCCGTCCCCGCTACAACATTTGTTGCTTATTATTGGACGAAGTTGACTTGTGGGGTTATCCGGTCCTTTTATTTGATACGTTTTGATCCCTTCTTGGGAATTGAAAAAAAATGAGACGCAAAAAGAGGGGGGTCACTTAGACGAATCAGATGAGCATGAAAACTCAATCAAATTCCTGTGACACGAGCTATATATATATATATAATTTTTATACATATATATATAGTACAGGTGATTACCGCTGTGTCAAAGCCAGGACATATTTACTTTACACGGGATCTGCAAGTCTTGTGGGGAAGTGGCCGCCATCAAAGACCACACGAACATGCTTTGGATAGGTTCTAGAGCAAAAACTCAGCAAAACCAAATTCTATATATCAGTATTGAAATTTCTTGTGGGGCACCCCACAGAAAGTCAAAACTTCTCTATGTTGGCCTGGTCTTTTGCAAGAGTTTTGCAAGTGCCTTCGCTGCACTTCCCCACCTCCCCGATCCATTTGCATTGCTGAGATGGTCTCCGATCCCCTATGGAGTGCAGGCCAGCTTCGGTTTGCAAAGCTTGATAGTGACCACTTGAGTCACTCAAATGGGACAGCTCAGGACAAGCTTCACCAAGCCACCAGTTTCCAAGCCGTCCTGCCCCCAATTCAATACTCTCTGCTTATGCTGCTTTCACTTTCTTTGACTTTTGAAACTTCTTCAGATACTCATGATGTGTCATGCGCATAGCCTACACGAAGATGCTTTCTGACTTTGCAAGGCTGGTGATGGCATTTGCGAAGAAGGATTTCGGTGTGTGTCGAGAATTTCCAAATTTGGCCGTTGCCCAAGCTTGAAACTGCAAAGACACAGCAATACACTGGTCATATTAGGTCATAATCAAACTTATCTGCCCACATTCTTGCATGAAGCAGTTTCGTCATGTTGGCAGGCACTGGCCATTGGGGACAGGTTGATGTTGGCAAGGAGGAGATAGTCGCATGGCCTAGCTAACGTGAGCTGATTGGAGCTGCACTTCAGTTCAGAACTTTAAGTCTTCTGAAGTCTTAGCGTGGGCCAAATTCAAGGCAGATGCTGAGGGCTCAGCGCCAGTGTATGAATGGGGATGCCCGTTTCAAGGGGCCAGTCACTCAGATGGTTTGAATTTTCCGACAACAAAAGGTCTTGAAAGGGCTTGACGGGAAAACTCTCACAGGCGACCCGTTATGTACGTGTATATACACACACATATATATATGATTGTAGATAGAAACACACACATATATATATATAATATACATACACACATTTGATAGTGTATGTGTACCATATACACGTCCACACGCAAATACACCTCAGTATGCACGAATCTGCATGTATATGTTCGGTGCCTATTCATCGACTTGTGTCTAAGGCGTCGCTCAGTTAGTGTAGATTTGCAAGAGTAGTTAGAAGTCTTTACCCGCACAAGTGCGCATGCAGATACATGTATATAGATAAGTTTTGAACTTGCAACCTTTCATGCGTGTTGCGCATTCTGTGGACTTGGTATGGCAAGACTTTGAGGAATGGTCTGAAAACAAGTATGAGAGTGGCCCTGGAGATGATCAGCCAGAAGCCAAAGAGACAGAAAGAGACAGAAAGAGACAACTGTGCATTCTGTGACTGTGAACTTATCCAAATCCATCCATGTCGTTCCATGTGCAGTTCTGCAAGTCGAAACCTTAAAACCGTCAGAAAAGTCTTTTTAAGCATCACCGTTGCAAAATTCGCTTGCCAGTTGATTTTTGCAGGGTTTGCTCATTCAACTTCAAGTTTGTAGGTGCACTGACGAGGGAGACTGCATTTGCATTGCTCGCGGATCTCCAGACATGTCCCTTTCTTGCAAATCCAGTATGAAAAACTTGAGAAAGCAAACCAGAAGCTTGTACGGAGCATGGTGACACGAGCGAATCAACAAGATGTCAAATCACAGTTTGGAGGTGATGTACTGTCTTGTTTAGGAAGGTTTACATACATTTACATACCCCACTAATCAAAAGGCACACGCTATTACGTTCAGATACGTAGAGGTTTTTTTCAGTGTCATTTCACCATCTTCTTTGTCTTG